AGTCGCGTTCGTGGTGAGTAGCCACTGGGCTTCACTTACGGCGGACTTCCATTTGTTCTTGTGCAGTGCTCCAGATTTCTTTCGCTTCTTCAATTGCTGGCTTGTAACTCAACAGCAACACTAAGGCACAGAGAATTGATATCTCCTTGGTGATGTGTCTTACTTGGCTCAAGCAGAGACGTGCACGCGATATATTGGACGGCCGAAGATTGGTCTTCTTTCATCAAATTGATACACTTGGCGCCTAACGACTGCCTCAACATAACTAGGCGCTTCTGCAATCATAATGAAGTCGTAAACACTGACTCACGTTAGGACATACCAACCGAGCTTCAATCGACTCTTTCAGGTTCCTTGAATGGCCGTTACTATTGCCATCACCCTCGACTGCACGTCGACATCGTTTAGACGGCCGATCCAACTGTGCCATCATCAGGTCAAGAATAGACAACCTCATCAGACTCACAGCCGAGCTTTGATCAATGGATTCCCGGCGTCGCTTCTTTCTCCCTCTTTGCTCGGTTGGGTCAGAGATGATTGTCTCGCTATCCGTATTCTTGGGTTGAGATACGAGCGCACTTTTATCACCTGCCCCTTCTACCAATCGCCATTCGTCTTCGAACTCCTGGATGTCGCTTTCCTAGATGAGAACAGGCAACAATAACTCAAACAGACCGTAAAACATTACCTGAATAAACCTACAAGGTGGAATGCAGCCAACGTTAAACACTGCAAAGATGCGATTGCTAGCAATTCTGAAACATGGTCCGAGTCATAGACGCGACATTCGCAAATCTCCAGCAAAACGTCGATTATGTCCCAATTATCCCAGAAAACGTTATGATTTGCCTGAGAATGGTCAACGTCATTGATCTGAAGCCCGAGAAATTTTACCGATTTGGTGATTGATAGCAGCCTCCGAACACAGAGGGACAACTTGACATAATCTTGATCACTTTTCATCGCCGAGGAGTTTTCTTTCTTCCTTATAGCCGCCGCTGCTTTCCGAACATCTTGCAGAACTTTCGTTACAACAGGCTGAACGAGAGAGTGAATGAGATCAGAGATGAAACCTTGCACAGACCTCAGTCAAGCTTCCAAAGCCTTCTTGAACATCCTCGACATTGAATATGGCTACACCGATGTAATCGAAGGAGGACAGGAATGCACAATTGAGAAATGCACTTGAAAGAACTTTGATGCTCTAGAATTCAATCAAATAGTCGCAGAATTGCATTTTTCGTCGATCTGTACCTGCTGAGAATCAATTTGGCTACGAATGGGATCTACGTTGAGGCTCGCGAAGAACAACAACGAAGCAGCCACCGCCATCACTTCCATTTCAGCCTGTGAGAGGAACCATTACTGTCACGTTGATCGTAACCTCAAGCAGAGTAGATTCTCAAGTGATTGACTAGAAACAAGATCCCCCTACCTTGCAAACCCTGATGATGCTCGGCATTCGGTTGAACAGTGTGCTCGTTGCACCATCAAGGAACGGCTTTGAAATATCTGCTGAGACGGGAGTTGAACCGTCGATCTGAGCAGACTGTTCCATGGAGATGAGGGAAAGGCGAGTGAGTTGTCTGTGCTTACTAGTTCTAAATGTCGATATATCGAGCGCATCAAAGCAATCAAAGGAAGACGATAACGGTCACCCAACGGAGTGGTTATCGCGTTGTTTGAATCACCAACAGTCAAAAAATCAACCAATGATTCCATCGACCGAAAACATGAAGTCTGAAGGGAATGGAGATGTCCCCACTATGGAGGATGAGGAGCTCACATTGGCCCAGAAGGCAGAGACAAACCGATCAATCAACACCAGATAATCTTCCCCAAATTCAACGATAAATTCCAAAATTGCACGAAGGTCCAGAGCCTCACGATGATGGTGGTTAAGCGCATCATCAGAAGCACCTACAACAACCAGAAACAGATCGCGAGATCGGGGGTGAGGAATGAACAACGTACTTGTCGGTTGGTTGGATGTCTGAGATGAGTACGAAAAAACGGGTGAGGAGAACAGCCGGTACGCTTTTCTTACCGGCCATGGTGAAAACACAGAGCTCGTGAACGTTGTCGTGTTGATAAATTTTGCCAGCACTAAACGCAGATCAGAATAGGCATCTGGTGACTTTGAACGATCGGATGTGTTATGCAGATCAAGAAAACTGGGACAATCCCATAAACATTCGATAACCTTAAAGAGGAAGAAGCATTCAATTCATACACACAAACATTTTCCTACCTGCTCCACTTGTTCGTCCGAAAGGAGCTCTTTTTCTGCCAGCTTGGTCAACACCGTAACTCCAGCAATGCAAACTTGTGGCTCAGAGTCATTGGGTAATTCAAGCAATCGGATCTGTTGACATCCAGGGAAAAGTAACAACTACGGATAGATACACCGTACCAGAAAACCGCTGATGAAACTTGGGCCGGCGAGGCCAGGTTGACTTTTGGTCGGTTGAGAGAGAAGATCGAAGATATGCTCATCATGCACAGCATCAGCGAGAAATTCGGATGCCAAAATACGAATGGATGCTTCCTATGAAAGAGAAAAAAAACAGAAAATATCAGATGACTTTCCTCCAAACCGGACAGACCCTATCATAAAGCGCATATCCCAGAAAACGACATTTTTTGGAATCCTTGATGTAAAAATTCGGGACACTTCTTGATTGATCGAAACTGAAGATGAGACCTTGTGGAAAGACCATTAAACTGTGAAACATACTAAAGCTTCAAAGGTTTCTTTACGAATAGCGGGACATCGATCTCTCCATCGAATTGATAGAGCGACGTTAAGATCCAAGATGTAGGACTCGAGGGATTTGATTCGCTTTTCACAGAGGTGGAGTTTTTGTTCGATGGATTTACAAATTGAAGATGATGATTTTGAAAACAGTCGCTCTGTTTCGCATTTGAACGGCATACCGCTGGCGTTCTTCACACGCATCCTGAAAGTTAAACCTAAAGGGAATGGCGTGCTGACGTTTTATCTACCTGTAGCAGTTCGATAAGGCCTTCGCAAAAGCAAATCCCGCTACTGTGCCTGTGTGTCTTAAATTTCGAATCATGTGTCCGCTCAATGGCAAAAACGCGTGCAGCGATGTCCTCATAAATATGATCTGGAACATCTCCAAAACTGCGAAGGCATTTTATGTGGCCGCTGAACTTGAATACTTACGCTTCAACGAGCAAAATCCAGAAATGGCGAAAGTTTTCAGAGAAGGAAGAGAATCCACGTTCATTTGTTTTCAAAGGAAACTTGGCCCCTAGTCCATATCCCTACACGATAAGGACAGTGAGACAGAATGGACGCGGAGCGTTCACCTGGAGATCCAAAGTTCCAAGAGCTTCATCTAAAATTTCTTGAATTTTTTTCCCTTCTGCGTCAACAAATGATATGAAGTCACCAGGGAACCCTGCAGTCTGTGAAAGTACACCATGATTCAGAGTGATGACGACGTGGAGCTCCAACCTCTATGATAAAATTAAACAGTTGCAACCCAATTTTTTCACGCTGATCTACATAGTTGGTACACCAATTATCAAAGTGTTCGGTCAATTTATCAGTCTCGTTCTTCCGAACCATTTCTAGCAGAGAAAGAAAATCAACCTCACATGGAATAACGCTCTGCGGACCTACCGAATAGCTCAGAGTGCTTCGTTGGAGGTTGACACAGCTTTTTCGCAGGGAGGAACGTTTTTGACTTTACAAACTCTTCAGAAGGAGGGGAGCGTTGTTTCATCGCTCTTGGTTTTCTTGACGCACGAGGTCTTTCGTTGTAGTCTTCATCTGAGCCGCTAGACGCTGATGGCTCGGTGGGTATCCCGTCCATCCACTGATACTCCAGGATTCAAGCGCCTCTGTCTTGCTGTTCTGGTAGGGCGCTTCTCATCTCTAGCACAAGAACAGACATCCAAATACCACAGAGGTGCGCGTTCACCTCTTATCAAAGCCAACAGGCACTCTTTCTTTTTGTTCAACGACATCCATATTCTAAAATTTACAGCTTTTCATAAAACAAATATGTGCTTAACAGTCCTTGAACACAGGAACTGAGATAGTCACAGATGTGTTTTGCCATCAAATAAAAACATATTAGAAAACGATTCAAGACAGAAAACGACGTTTACGACAAGGACAGAGTTGTAAGGTATTGCTTCAATTCACCCAATGAGTCAAGTGTGACTTCCTTTGTGTCAGATTGATCTATGATTCGGATAAGCGGACCTTCAACAGATTTATCCGAATCTACTACGAAGAATGGGATTGATTGAAATAGCTTCGATATTGAAATGATTTCATCCGATAGCTTAGAATCAATCTTCGATTCTGAAGTATCGGAATGGCGTGACGGGTTCCGAATAACGACGACTGGGTGGCTTATAGTTGAGGCAATACGTCGTGGTAGTTCCTCATCCGCCGTAAGATGATACCGAAATGAAGCTTCCAGCAAACGGACAACCTCAGGGAATGCGTACCTGGAAATAAATGACTGATTGCAGCACCTTCTATCGGGGCTTACCAGTTGGGAACTTCCAATCCGGCATTGATCCGTCTCCTAAATTCCGTTCCACTGATGCTTCTAGTTTCTAAGGATTTTTCTTGCGCTTCAGCTTTTTCCATATAGACCTTTTTCTCTGGCACGTATACCAGCTGCTTGAACGACACTGGTTTTATTCCCAGCTCTTGCGCGTATTTTTCAGCCAGAGCTTGAGCATCATATGGACCGTAGTAGTCGTTACCTGTCGCATCTTTGCAGCCTGAATTTGCAATTGTTAACCACGTAGTCAAAATTTGGCCCTTCATACCTGCATGATCTCGTCCGACCACCATCTGAGTGAATCCGTAATTTTTGCGACAAATCAAATGTTGTATTGTTTCTTTTGGCCCAGCCAATCTCATGTGATATGGAAGATAATATATTTCCACGCCACTCCCCTGAAGATTCGGCTGAAGGACTTCGTACGTCGGAACTGAGAGAAACATACTATGGGAAATTAACAGTCACACCCAATGCACCTCGAACTTTTGCATCGAAATCGTCTTGTTTCGAAGGGCCTATCGAAGGATGCACGACGACCTGTAAATTGTCAGTGGGTCCATCATGAAGGCTACGCGTGAACATTTCAACATGAGCTCGATGGAGTGGATTGCGACATTGGAAAGCTAAGACATCAGACATATTGCAATAGCGTTCTCGTAGCTCTGGAAGAGAAACACAGATAAAAAGGTCACACACTCCATGAACATTACTTACCCGCAGGAGTTGCAACTCTAAGCTGTGATGGTAACCATGGGCGCTCTGGTAAGCGGATTCCTCGAACAATTGGACCTCCAACGTAGAAAGCTCCCATTTCACTTTTCATATAGTCAATATATGGATGATCACGGGATGTTGTATTGAAGACTAACGAGGGAAAAGAAGCCAAATTGGAGTCAAAGTTTTTCAAGGAGATCTTGAATATAGTGACATACCCTTCAGTGCTTCTGTGGTCTTGTCTGGCTTCCATATGTCTTCGACAAGCATGACGGCTAAATCTCCTCCCATTGTTGTGGACCTCAATAGAAGCCGTTCACCTTTCGCGATTTCCCCATCGTGAGAATCAAGTACGACTGGCAACCCCCACAAGGAACCCTCCGGCAATCTCATATCGTGAACGCACGACTCGTACTCTTGTTTTGTCATAAAGCCTCTTAATGGTGAGTATCCACCGTTGATGAGGAGTTCGAGGTCGCAAACCTACCAGCAGTAGCCCATAAATGAAACAGCTCCAGGAGAAAGACTCCCTTGAATCGACTGCATACCTGTCTTTCATTCAATTCTATAACGCGATCGTAGTGGACGTTGGGCTTCAACAGTAGAGGGGCCAATACTTCACTTCGACCGTTTCGCGTAACTTTTCCTTCTGTGAGAAGGTTCACCAGCCCTCCGCCTCCGTGAGGGGCTTTCTTGGTGTTCGAGACTCTGGTATGAATCCCACACTCCGATGCATGGCGATGAACGAAACGGCCCTCGCGTTCTGCAAATGACAATTCTAATAATGCAGCTCGATCATTCTAGAGGTACCTGATTCGTCAATCGAAACTGGAACCGAAGTAACGGTATCACCGAAAGACTTCCATACATAGAAGTTCGTTGTACTCCCTTTCTTGGAGAGGGCTTCACGAAGTGTTTCATCGTTGTAGTAAAAGTACGGTTCATCCAAAGTCACTTCCAGAAATCCCTGAGGAGAAGTAAGCGCTTTTTTGGGGACTGTACTACCTCTCTCCTGGATTCGCATTACCTCGTATGAATCCCTGTCTTTTTTCCCAATAAATGGATTGAACGGATCAATGTAGAGTCTTTTGTGCAAGGGATTTACTGGAAGGCGATGATGTTGGCAATACAATGTAACGTCGTTCCATTTCCAGTTGACGAGAGGATTAAACGTCTTTTTATCCTGCTCCCTAATGCAAGTGAAGGCAATGTAAGCGTGCCGATACCGCTTTTGCTGCCTACCACATTGGAATGGACGTTCTCTGATTTCCTTGATCGTTACGACGACCAGTAACAACAATTACGCGCTGGTGCTCCTGTTCATGAAGGGTTTCAAGAGCGCGTTGTAGAGGTTCAACTTTCGTCCAATAATCAAATTCAGATTCCGATAAATCGTGGAACTGTCCTGGATCAAAAATTGAGGCTGTTCAGTTCATGAACTAAGCATTACCGTGAAGGCGATGAAAATCTTCTCGGGTGTCACATTTGTCCGGCTTGAACCATTGAAACGTTTCCAAGATGTGGGGGTATCGAGACAGCAGCAAGTTGGCCGTTTGAAGAGTCTCAGGAAAAAGGTGAAGTGTGTCGACCGAGATCACTCTTAGGGAAACACCGGATAGTTCAGGACATTCCTTGATTGCCCTGCGCAGCGAAGGATACCAGTGACATGGGTGATGGCTGAGCAACCCTACCTGTTGAACAGATCAATAGCGACGTTATCGGAAACCAGCCAAGCAGAAATGATACAAAACGAGGCTTCGCCGTGTTTTAGGGGCAACGACAGAAGTGACTTCTTGAACGAGTCGAACAAGAACTCCATCCTTGCTGCGTAAGGCATAGTATCTCGCAAGACGAGTGGGCTTTTGGATTGCGTCGCCCAATCATCACGAATTCTTGTCTTGTACTGTTCATTCGAGTGAGTTTCCGCGTCTGCTTTCAGTTTGAACGTTGTTTCTCCAGCAGCGGCTGAAGCTGATCTACTGTCTACCAAAATTGATCTACTGTTGAATGTTCTTTGAACAATGTTTTTCCCATTCGCTTGTTCATATTTGAACAAACCCTGCAATGGGAGTCGGAAAGTTGAAGAAAAACGAGCCCTGAGCATCATAGTAAAAGGGAAAGTAAAAGACTGAGACTGATGTTAGCTGCATACAGGGAGCTCTGAAGCCAGTGAAAAGTTTGAGTTCTGAAAATAAAAATGTAGCTGGAAAATAACGCAAGCAAAAGAAACGATTGATAGCGAGGAAATATGTGGGGGAATTTGAAAACTGCTCTCAATTTCATCTTCTTTTTTGTTTCTTGCTTTTACTGGTTGCAGCTGATTTTGATTCTGTAGGTTCGATTGTTGCCGAAACTGCTGCAGAATGCTTTCTCACTGCAAGATGCGGAAGAGCGCTTTCAGCCAATAGTGCTCCACCTAACATTCCTATCAGCAGGGTGATACAACCAAACAAACCGCGTTTTCCGGCAAGGGCCGATATTGGTAAGGTTGCCATCACCGAGTCTATAAGTGAAGGGGCATCACTTTTTCCTCCAACTGCCATGTATGTATCGACAACGGATGCTAAGACCTCAGCTTGACGACTTGAAAACTCAATGGGTGTCGCAATCGTTCTTCTGAACACTTTATCAGATTCTGCCGCTCCCAATAGTGAGCTTCTCCCCGCTCGTGATAACTGCGCATACGTCGCAGCAACACTAGGACTAATATTTTCGAGACATGAAAGCAGATCCCCAACGAAGAAAAGCCGAAGTGAATCGTCTTCGCGAACGTTCAATCTTTTTGACGCCTTGAACGCTTCCTGTGAATAAACGTCTCGATAATCCTTCATCCGCTTTTGAGTCAAATCCATACAAGCAACCATCATGGGTCGCAATTCAGTCGACGTGAGGGTTTTCGCTGTGACCACGCTTCCTGGATACTTCACTGATGAGAGATGTTTGAGATCGAATTTCTCGAAATATCGGTCCAAATAAAACTGTGAAACTTCACGAACGACTCGACCCGATTCATTCTGCTCTTCCACTGTTGCATTGCACAACGGGGTGGATACAAGTAAACAAAATACTGGGAGTAATGCACAGCAACGGGTGACAGAGGGTTGCATTAGGGGATAGGCCAATCAGGTACTGCTCCTGCTTTATTGCCAGACCTAATCAAGAACATCGACTTTCCACACGTTGATCTATGAATCCGCCAGGGAATTGGACATCATCCAATCCACCGATGATGTTTCCAATACCTGGTGCTCCTTCCACTTCTAGTGCAGCCTCCAGTCAGTTGTCAACTATGTTTGCCCCCCTTGAAGGTCCGCTTGGGGTGCCACTACAGCACCAACCATTATCCCCTTACCATCCCTCTCGCCAACCACAGCCACTCGGACGACAACTCAATCCACCTGCAGCTCCCCTTCATTATGGTACCACACAACGTGGCGAGAAGTTTCCTCTCGATTTGGGCCCTTACCTGGAAAAGGGCATTCCGTTGAGAATGTCGAAAGCTTGCGAAGATAAAAACATTCAATTTTTTGCTTCGAAGTTTCCTGAAGGGTTCGATCTTCCTGACCTTGTTGCACCAATTCAAATCCAAAGGGATGTGAGCCAAATCGAGATAGCAGAGGTAAGTAAAACAATGTCACACTATGAGTCCAATGATCGTTTCTTCTTTGCAGGACGCGTCAATGCTGAACAGTGAAGATCGAAGACCGATCAATTTTCGCAATCGAGATAAATTAAGCAGAACCCGCCCCGTCAACCCCACACGACTACCGTGGAGGCTGACAGATAGCAACAAGAAAAACCTTATCGGAAGGAAGACCGATTTGGATACGTCGAATTATTTCGTTATGGTGGAAAAGGTAAGCCGTTTTCGATGAAGGTTTCCTTGTTTCTTGTCTGTATGCAGCTCTCGATTTTTGCTTTTAGGCATCGTCCATCGAGCTGGTCCCGCTTGATTGCTGGTATACATTTTTCACAGACCTTCATTCAGATGGACAAGCCGAGCCTCCTTCAACAGATTTAGCCGAACGGAAAAGAAGAGCTGCATTAAGATTGGATGAGAGAGCATCTGGTATGCTGGTAGCAGACCTTAATTTGTTCTGAGTTCGACTTTGCGGAATTGTGTTTCTCAGCCCGCTTAGCAAGTCGCATCGGTAGACCAGATTTGGATAGTGGTAAGATTGGACGTTAAAAATAAGGTTCAATATATCAATCTGTTGTCCTTAGAGGGGGAAGAGCGTCCAACTAAAAAGGCTAAAGGATCCGAGGGAGAGGCATTGGAATCCTTGTATGCCGAGGATGGCGGATTGAAGAGACAGCAAAAGAAGAAGATAAAGTCGATCTTCAAGCACAAGAAGCGCGGAATGAAGAGAGATGACGAGGACGTGGAACATTCGTAGGCTAGCGAGGGCAATCAACGGGGTGATTTCGGTTTATTAGGGCGCTGAATTTGGGTGAGCTAAAGCGTCATGAGGTTGATTGGGACTGGGAGGATGATGGAAAGGCGACAGATGATGAGGAAGATTTGGGTGAAGAACAGAATGAAGATGCCGATGAAACAGTAAGACAAACAAACAAGGTTGCAGATATTCCATGAAGTTTCAGAAAAACACTTTTGGAGAATCTGATGATGAAGATCAAGGCGGGTTAACAAAGTTTGGACAGCAAGTCACATCTGCGTTGGAAAGTCAAAAAGAACAAGATGCAGATGATGAGCTCGCACAGTTCAGTGATGATGAAGAAGATGAAGAGAAGCCATCAGTGAAGGAATCCGAAGGAACTGAAACGACTTCGCCGCCGCCAGCAGCGGATAGCAAGAGGACGAAGGACGATGTAAGGATGTTGAATCTTTCGGTTTTTCATTTTGGCTTCACCTTCAAAAGGGATCCACCGTTTCCTCTTCGGTTAGCAAAGGTGGAGGTCCTTCTAAGGCGCCTTCGGCGACAGGTGGAAAGCTCGGTGCAAGGAACGGTGCTAAAGATGAAGCAATGACCTTTGAGGCTGTTAAGCAGCGAGTCATACGAACACTGTCACTCCATGGTGGGAGGATGGCCACCAAAGTAAGTGCAAGAGATCGTCTTGGTTTAAGGGAATGTGTTTTAGCAATTCATCAGTAGTTTCAAGATTACTTCCAATAAATCCGATTTATTCAAGTTTGTACGAAAATCAATCAATGAGGTTTGCGACGTTTCCACCGAGAACATAAATGGAGAACAAGTGAAGGTCTTGGAATTATTGGTAAAGCTTGAACATTTAAGAAATATTGCACCTCTCTTCTTCCAGGCTCAATTTCGCCAAGCGTAATCTTTTTCTGAAAATTGCGGGACACATGTAGCGAATGTATTAACAGTTGGCTTTTTTTGGAGAACCTTCAAAACATAATGGGTGATATTGCTCCGACAGAGCGTCCAACTGATTTGGGCCCAATGCCAAATGATACAGACGCGCTGGAAGGGAATTTTCTCAAATTTTACGAGCACATGTTCCGTTGGTTGGGATATCGAGCTTATCGTCGCAGTCAATTCCATAAAACCAGAACAAATGGTTTCACAAGATTTTTGACGACAGTATTCATCATTCTCGTCACTACGCTTCTACTTCTTGGATGGATTTCGAAATTAGGTGCTTGGTTTCATTCACAAGTATCGTATTGGTCGAATGGATGGCTCTTTGTTCCTGGCCCGCCCGCTGTGGAAGTTATCAGTTGGAGTTTGGTCCCTCTGTTCGGCATTCTCTCGTGTATTGCGTTCCTATCGAGCATTCACATCACAACAAGCGATTATTTTATCGCGATCAGTCTCTTCATTTCTAAAGCTGGTGCAATCGCGTCTCTTGTCATTCTACTTGTTGAAATTCTTTTCGTGTATCCTCTATGCTGGACCGACTTTCTGCGGTCCGACTTGAAGGAATTTTGTGAAAGTGAACATGATTTTGTGTGGAGTTACACCGCTTTATCATTCAGCGGCCTCCAGTCATTGTTTGGGGTTGCATTTGGAACGTATGCGGCGATCGGAGCCCTTAGTCGTATGGCGTTTTATGCGACTTCCCCTCTTTGCTGTATCATTGGCCCCCATTTCCGTGTCCATCGATTCCGTTCAATTCGATCCATTTCAGACCTCGCTAGTTCACTCAGAGACGCACATCCCGTAATCTTCGATCCCCGCGTCCTTAAAATGATCGAAGCTGATTTGCAAACATCAAAGAAAGCGGAGAAGCTTTCAGAGCAGGAAGTGGAGATTGCTTTTATCGCATTTGAATTAAAAACCATTTATCGGTTGCTTGAAAAAGTCTGCTGCTCGATTTGTGATTCTACCAGAGATCGCACGCATGATGCTTTCTACCTCGGGAGTGTTGATGAAAATAAGTGTCCCAATGGCTTTGGTATATGGATTGACTTGAGACAAGACGGCGAAACACTTTATGGAAACTGGGATCGCGGTAAGTTGGTTCATTATTTCAGCAGCTTTCGGAAATGGCTGTTAAGGATTTCCTTCTATGGTCTCATAGGAATCCCCCAAGCCCCATTTGAGTCCTTCGCCAAAGCTCTCGGCTCTGCCTTTTCTGCATCTCGAATCGCGTTTTCGTATCAGTCGGCTGATGATCCGAATACTCCAAGCTTTGGTACGCAGTAATACAGAAAAGTTGATAATTAAGTTGATTTCCCCCTTTCGTTTGTTCTCAAAGGAAATTCAGACGTTGAAATGTGCTTGTCTGGCGTTCCGCTGAAGGGGTTCCCTTCTCTTCTCTCAGTTCATAAAACAAGAAACGGTCTGCAACGGAGGCATTCAGTCGATATCGAACTGTCGCTGGCGAGCACGTTTTCTCCTTCGGAGCGGTGGAGATGTGGAGAAGAATCTGAATTGGTGGAAGGACAGAAATCAGAAGAGCTTGAATTGGAAGACAACTTGCACAACAGGGTTTCTCAGAGTCTGTCGTTTGCGCAATCAGGCCAAGTGAAACCAGCGTCTGTTGCGGAACAACACCATCCCTTCTATCGAGTCGGAATATGGTTTCAAAAACAAGACGCCCATAGTGACAACCAAAAAATGGAGACAAAGTGTATCGTGATTGTGTGCCCTACTGACTGGACGCTTAAACAGGTGATGACCCAAAGCTTCACAGTCGAAGTAAAGGCTCACGAAGCGCCTTGAGAACGCCTCGATAATCCTGTTGTTTCTTCACAGTGTTTACTTTCGAGCGGTTCAATGGCTGCTTTCTTCAGTTGCTCTTCTGAAATACCAATTTTGGTGGTTTCACAGCAACGGCCTCTTTCTCAAATGCAGGAGTGGTGGGATTGGTTGCTAAGTCCGTTGCCATCCTCTTGCAAGAAGCACCCCGTGGCCATTCCAGATCTGGCAGCCATACTGAGATCGCTTCAACACACAGGTGAATCTTGACTTCGATTTCGTTGAAACTGTATTCTCCTGAATCCCCAGGTTTCGCTGAAATTGATCTAATTTCGGTGGGAACGGGATCCAAACTCCTGGTTTCCACACTACAGAATTTCCCTACCCAGTTCGAGTTCCATTCAGTCTCTTTGCTGTTCCCACACTTCACTTCGATATCAAGGGTACCCTGACGTGGATAGTATACTGGAATTTATGCCTTCTGGATTTCAGGATGTTGGTCTTTGCAGAAAGTCATCCAGCAACGTTACAATTTACACGACTGGACGATCGGTACCAAGATAGACATTTGATTTTTGATGCCGTCTTCTCCCATCAGAGACTCGGTGGTTGTTCTGAGTCAACACTCTACTCTGCATACGATATTCGCCGCGCTCTAAGCAAACTGGAAGATTGCGATACCGAGGTCTGTCCGTTCTTGTCTGCTGGTGGTACGTTCGAACTTTCATGGAGGGATGCAGTCTGGTGGTCTTAGGGACTCTGGATCCCAAAAGTGATGTGGACATAATTGATATCGACTCATTGTTTCAAAAGTCAATTTCACTTGAGGAAGGACCGAACCCATCGACGAGTTGGGCCTGTGCACTTCAGATGATCGTCAATTGTTTCTGGAAGCCTAGAATCGCAGAAGTCGCCTTGCAAAGTAGCGATATCGTTGAAGATCTTCGGTTTGTACCACGACATTTGATTTGCTGGCTCTATCGCTCTTCCGTTTTTAGGTCGGTCATCGTGTATAACACTCGAGCCTACCAAAGACACCCACGTATCCGACAGTAAGCGTTTCGCTGTAAACGCGGTTAACATCTCATGAGTTATTAAACCTGTCTTAGATCTTGTGAGGGCGTTTCCACTTTTCAACAATCTTCTCAAGTGTTACCATCCTGATATCATGCAAACCAACGATACAGCCCCCAAATCTCCACCAAACAGGACATTTCGCGATGCGGCAACACCCTGGAAAATTTCTGACTTGCCTCTGCAAAACGGCTCATCAGTTTCCACATTCTCTCCAGGGTGGAACCAAGCGCAGCCGACGAGAGGTCCGACAATCTTTCCGACAACCTTTCCGACAACAGCAACCTCTTCAACCCTGGCAAGAAAAGTAATCGTGTATTACAGCATCCACGTTGGTGACCTTCTCCGTGCGCTCAAATTCATGGACGCCAAAAACAGCACCATGTTCTTATTCCGAGCATCCTTTCCCGCACTTCGATCCACAACAAAATACAGAACCACCGCGATAAAGATGAGCAGTTTCCCTCAAAGAGGTGCACTCCCTCAATCGCTCTCCCATAACACAAACCCAATGATTGCCACCAACTACGTCTCTCCAACACAATTCCTACAACAGCTAATAGCCATTTGAGCCCAACACAATTCCTACAACAGCTAATAGCCATTACATACAGGCTCAAATGGAGAGTTGTTTGCATGGATTGGTACACAGAGAGACCATGACAACATGAGAAATTCAAGCAAGCCCTTGTGCAAATATATAGCCATCATGGCATATCATATTACCACAACAATTCCAAGACTACTACGGCCACTTTGTGAACTTCTCGTTTGCACCAGGGGTCAGGTTATCACTTCGATGGGCCTGGAGATCATGACTCTTGAGTGTCTGTATGACAATCACCAACTCCGTTTGAGTCTTCTGTTTGGGAGGCATGTGTCCCAGTTTCTTTTCAAAACAGCATGGGTGATTGTTGCTGCTTTAGGCCATAGTGTTCGCCGTCTTTGCGTTGTGGACTGCAAAAACTTTCTTGTTCTGAGGATCAGCTGGTCAAAAGTAAATAGACATATCTAAACAAATTCAAAAACGTTCTGAGGATCAACTGTTCAAAAGTAAAAGATCTAGACTTCAAAAACGTTCTGAGGATCAACTGTTCAAAAGTAAAAGATCTAGACTTCAAAAACGTTCTGAGGATCAACTGTTCAAAAGTAAAAGATCTAGACTTCAAAACAAATTCAAGTATATTAAATAAATCATCAATTTCGGCTTCAGATCAGCAGTGGGGTATCAGCGAGATCCAGATTTCTACATACTCTACAGTATTCAGATGAATGATATTCATCCGGTTCGAAACCATAAAAAAGAGCAAATGTACTTACTCCGGGTCCAAGTGGACTTCTAACAGCAGATGACGGTACTAACTCATTAGCTTCCTCATCTTCCCGAACACAGGGATCGCAGAGGCAAAAGCGTGGCGGAGGATACCGTTTCGGCATTTTCTTTTCCAAACGTTCCTGGCGCTCCAGTTCCTTTTTTTTGCGCGCCGCTTCAGCAGCACGTTTTTCCTGAGGCGAGTTCAAGATTAGTAGTGCGGGCAACACACACAATTATTTTTACCGCTTCGACCTGGGCTTTCATTCTGGACATTTCTTCTTTCTAAATAACGACAGTAAAATTGACAACAAGGTGAGAAAACGAAGAACCCACTGTTTCGCGCTCCATCTTAGCTCTAAGTTCTTCCAACTCCCTCTCCTTCCTCGCAGCTTCGCAAGCTAATCTCTTTTCCTATGATACCTCCACTTTTCGACATGACATGTATTTTTGTTGACTATACCTCTTCTTCAATCTTCAGTTTAGCTTCGTCAGCCTTCAATTTGGCCTCTTCAGCCATCAACTTGGCCTCTTCAGCCATCTTCCTTTCCTATAATTCCAGGTGTCCGAACAGCACCAGAAGCACCACCGACCTGTTCTTCGAGTTTCCTTTGTGCCTCCCTCAGTTTCTCCTCTTGAGCTCTTGCCTTCTCAACAGCTTCCTCTTTCTGAACCAACAACATGCACCATATGCAAGCTCTCTTTTGAAAGACTCACCAATCTCTCCTGTTCCTGTTTGAAGCTTTCCTCTCTCGCATCAAGCTCTGCTTTCTCTTCCTGAAGCTTCTTCTCCTCGTTCTTGAGACTCTCATCCCTGGCGTTCAGCCTTCCCTCCTCTGCGTTCAACACGGTTTCCTTTACTTTGAGCCTTGTTTCTTGAGCTATTTTCATAAGCGCTTCCTCGTCGTTCTGGTACTGAACAACAGTTGCACCCTGAAAATGAAACAGTGTTGCCCCTTTTATCGATGGAACGCACAACTGGTTCTTGCCGTGTAGGCCACATTTCTAACTCTCTTCTCGTCTCATCCTGTTTCAGCACACATCAGACCGGCCTTAAATATCGAGCTGCTGTTTCACGTACGTTTTTATTTGATTCTTGCAAGGCGTCAAATCTTTCTTGAAAAGCTCTACGCGCGGCCTCCTCCGCTTGGCCTGAAGGATTGATATTCATATGAAACGCAAACAGTTAACTCACTCATATCTCGCGTCACGACAGCTTTTTTCGATCGACAGAACATCTTCAATACAGTCACAACGCGATGTTCCTCGTGCAGCCCAAACTCCCACAAAAATCATAGTGTTACGACCATGAAAATGCCGAGATGAACCACAATAAAAACAACGATCAAGACATCTGCTATCTTACGGAATCCGTGAGGGCACAGAAATGCTGAGAGGGAGAACCAACGAGTCTTGAGGCCGAGCTAGTATTTCTTCCGAGGGTGTCAGCTTGACAATCTGATGAGCACCTTCAGGAAGTCCCAATTCCTATACCATAACGCATCAGCAATGTAGTTATAGCTAATTTCTCACCCGCTCTTTCTGTCTCAACAGCTTCTTTTTGACCTTTCCAAGGAGAGTGTCAAGTTCTGGTTTGTCTGAGGTGACTGAGTCTAAGAATCTGCAGTGGGGCATTATTACTATGCGACAGAAAGCTAATGCCTCACGTCTTAAGTACAGCAACGTGCTTGCAGTTTGTGTAGAAGCCCTCGGGGAGCTCAGGTGGTGTTTCGCCTGAACAGGATGAATACAAGAATGACGGGAAGACTATATGCCAGTATGTACATGTGGGAGACTCAGCGGTGGTGTCTGCCCCGTTGTTTCCGAGATCCTGCAGCGCCGAGTAGCAACGCTTCCTTGCAGCAGGGGGGGCACATGCATTAGAAGAAGGAAGCGACGTTGAATGACTTGCAGCTGAAGCCATTTGGGATCCAGCCGCTGGGGAAGCATCGGGAACAGACAAAGGTGAATGGGATGACTGCGTATCGAAACTGGGACACTTCTCTGCCAGCGAGGATGGGGCAACTCGCCCAGAAGCATAAAAGGGAGCTTGTGGCTCGGAAGTTGAAGAGGATGTAACAGCAAGATGGTGGGGAAGTTGAGAGAGGCTGTTCAATAAAAATGTAGACGGGGGCTGTGTTGTTTGAGTTGATGACTGGAAAACCGGAACAGAAGGACCCTGGAAGTGAACGAGTTCTTCTTGTCGAGACCGATCTGAAAAGAATGGCAATCCGGAAGAATCATTCAGAGGATTGAGAGGAATGTAGTTGGCGCTCGACTGAGATGGTACTTTCTGTCGACTTGGCTCTTGTGAGACGGCTTTCATCAATGCAGTCAGTTGGACAAAGCAGGCAAGTTCAGCTGTTGATGAAGCGATGCATTCTTCGTCCCTGCAACGACATGGTACTGTTTCGAAACAATTGTCACTTACGCTCGCTGAAGTTCCGCTTTTTCCGACGCTTGCAGTACAATGGACAGCGCTGACCGCAATGGGTTCAGCTGCTGAAATTGTTTCTCGCATTGTTTAGCTGTGCGAGTTCCCGGCATTTCACTCTGGATTCAAAAATCACGGGAGGGTCTTGAAAGCAGAATCTTACCGCTATCTGTTCCCAATTACCCCATCCGTGTCTCTTAACGGCCGCAAGAAGGCGATTGTTATCTTGGCACGACCACTCTTTCTTGGGAGGGGGGCGCAAAATGTTCTCGTACCTGATGATGATTAGCAATAGATATGGACACGGATTAGTTCCCTACCTTTCACGGCATCTCATATCCGTTCTCCATGGCATATGACGAGATATCTTCGTCCATTTTCCTCTGCCATAGATGCTCACAAGCAGTTGCAAACAAATGTCTTCATGCTTGGTCCAAGCCCCATGACGAAGGTCAGACTACAAAAGGAACCTTAAAATTTGGACTGGCAAATGCCGAGCACTTCCTACAATGCTAACACGAAGGATACCTTGAGATTATGCAAATATCTTGCTCTGCATTGAAAATTTGATCTCCCAGGGAGCCTTTGTGCAATGCGAGTCCACCGCGACGGTCCAGTCGACTGTACAAAGGTGAGCTCAGGAGACGCCAAAAAGGGAGCATACCTCTTGTCCAATCTCCTGGACTGCGGCAATCAAGGCCTTATCTTCTTCTGCCGTCCATTCGCCACGAATCAGATCTGAATTGAACAAACAGATACGTAACAACGCAAGTCAGCGTTGCCTCTTAATACCCTTGTTGAGTCGTCTTTGGTACCTCTCGAAACACTGAAATGCAGTCCTTCGAGTGGCTAGCTCTTGAGCAATAGTTGTCCAGTCACGCCTACCAACCCGATGTCATCACTAACACGCACATGATACGTACCTCGAATGGTCTTGTCCTAATCTTTCTAATGTAATATCTTCCTTTTCCGTGAACTCTTCTCGATTCACTGTTGGATCTAGGTGGTGCGTCCACTGCACTTGACAGTCTCGTCCAGACCTAGCACCACAAACATACTACAATTCACTCCACGGAAGAAAATACTGCTTGCGACCAGGCTAACGTACCACTCAATTTTTGAAGACATTGCTAAAGCTACGGAGTCCCAAAACAGGGTCCAGTATTCGGAAAGTGTTGGTTCCATTCCGTCACTGAACTGCCGGAGTCTGATTCCGTCTTCGGGCTTGGTGAATGAGAAAACTTC